AGAACTACAGTAAATGCAACATAAAAGGGAAAATGCTTTATAAAAAATAAAAAATAAAATGTTGCAAAGGTAGAAAACAAATGTTAGGTGAATAACAGACTATATGCTGTAGGTAATAAGCTTTTATGAAATCAAGAAATGAAAATAAACCCAAATATCAGACACTAGGTGGCTGTTTGACTTTGCATTTCTAACAGATGTGAAACTGAATAATTGAACAGCCTGAGCTGTGAATTGTGAGAAAAAGAACAGACAATTACATTATATCATTAGTACAGTGAAGGCTATTCTTTCTGTTTGGTGCTTTAAATGCTGGTAGAAATTTAAGACAATGCTTGCAGCCTGGACATAAGTAAGTAGAGTGACCTCTTGGATAGGCTTGGCCTATAATTTAATGACAGATTTAAATTCAACCAGCTGAACCTCTGTGGGATATTTACTTCAACCCCTTCATAGATTGAGCTATTAGTATCATCCATCCATTTTCTAACTGTTGAATCCAATACATGTTCACAAAGGAGCCAGAGCCTAGCCCAGCGAGCAAGAGATGCAATACGGGATATACACTGGATGAGACAGCAGTCCATTGCAGGGCATACACAGACACAAACACACACACTCACACCAGGGCCTATTTTCAAGGAAGCCAATTAACCTCCCAAGTATGTCTCTGGACTGTAGGAGTAAACTGATGCACCAGGCGAAAACTCACATGGACATGAGGAGAACATGCAAATTCCACCTAGATAGCACCCTAGGTCAGACAATAAACCCAGGGCCCCAGTGCTGTGAGGCAGCAATGCTAACCATTATGCCACCTTGCCTTCATGTTAGTGTAATTTCTCAACCAATTATTTAAACTGGATTGTATAGCTTCAAAAATTGAAATTATATTTAAAATATACATACTGTATGAACAAAACTGTTGTATGTTCAAAATGACATTTGATTCCACACACCTATGTGAGTCCAATTAAAAACCTGTCTGACTGATAAGCATTATAATGACTCCATCAAGGTTGACCTTGCAGAATACAAAGCTGATTTCACACCTCTATTGGATGTAATGTTATGTTAATTAACACCCTGAAATAAAGGTGAGATCAGTTTTCCTTCATTTTAAATGTAGTGCCTTGTAAAAGACTCTTCCTATAGTTTCCCATTTTGTGAAATTACTGAATGCTAAGACTGAAGACTTCTACAGGTAAGATTAGTAGTAAATGTCTGTAAATATGTAACAGAAAAAAAAAATGGAATATAATGATTACATAAATATTCATACCAGTGAACTCAATATTTGTTAGAAGCACCTTTAGCAGCAATTACAACTGCAATCTGGGTAAGTCTCTTCTGTCTTGGCACACTGGCCTGGTACCAAGAAGAATGGGCAAAAATTGTCCATTCTTCTTGGCAGAATTCCTCTGCATCTTCAAGTTGCTTGGGAATTTCTTACGGACAGCATTTTTCAAGCCACTCAAGGACATTCACTGTCTTATTCTTAAGTCACTAGAATTTAACTTTGGCCATGTGCTTTTGTTCATTTTCTTATTGAAATGTAATAAAAAATCATGTTAATCCTTCTTCATCAGTTTGAAAATAACTTGATAAGGATACTACAACTCAAAATTATTTTTCTTTAACTGTTGTATTCATATATTATTTTTCAATAGTTTATCATGACAACAAATATTAAGGTGTGTATTTGGATGGGGTGGGGGAGAGTTACAATGTTGTACACTGTACAGAATATTTCAAACATCTATACACAATCTGAAGTTACATTATATGTATTATAAGCATCAGGAATAAAAGTTTCCACCTGTGTTTTCTACTATTATAATTACTTTGATGGTTATTGATACAGTTTAGTGAGAAAAATCCCAAACTCCTCTAGCAACCTTTAATTCAAATTGATCAAAATCTTTAAAATCTTGATAATCACTGCTCAAGTTCAGCAAATACATAAGGGGTTCATGTGAATTGTTTTAGTAGTTAATCCATTACATTTATTTAATATAAAGTAACACTCCACTCAAAATGCTTTACAGGTTTAATGGGGACTCCACTCCACCACCACCAATATGCAGCATCCACCTGGATGATGCAACAGCAGCCAAAGTGCACCAGTACGCTCACACATCAGCTATCAGTGGGGAGAAAAACAGTGATTAAGCCAATTCAAAGATGGGGATTATTAGGAGGCCATGATTGGTAAAGGCCAATGGTAAATTTGGCCAGGAC